CAAATTACTTCTACTTTAGAAATCAGGCAATGAAAGTTAAATATGGTTTTTAAAATTCTTAACTATCACTTGTGTATATCGATACACTGAGAAAAAAAGTCTTTCTTCAGCAATATTCAAGTTGCAGCAAAGATTTTAAACATTTAAACATCAGTTGATACCTGGAATGGCAGTCATGTTACGAAGTTGTGAAGAATTTGTGGTTCCTTTAGGAGATAATGTGCTTTTCTAAGTTTAGAGATTTAGGCAAAAAAAAGTGTCTGCATGTAGCTGAAGACGTACAGCCAGTTCTAGAATTGAAACATGTATCAATTGGCTGTGCAATTGGAAGCCTTAGCCATGTTTTGATGTTTTGGCAACTCGCTGGAATCAGCCAAATTAATTTAAACCAAGCACTTAGCGATTGAAAGTCAATTGAATTTAAGTCTGATAGTTTTGACAGCTTTGGACCAATGCTAGTGTAAGAAAATTGATGTGTCATCCAAGATATATAAGGATACAATTTTTAAAAATCGGTTTGAGAGCAAACTGCCATCTGAGAAATAAGCACCTACCTCTCACAAGAAATGGCTAAGTTCTCTAAGAAAGCACCATCTTATCTATAAAAGGTACCACGGCACTTCTAACGAAGAGTCTTCACAGAGAAAACATCCCTGACAGCAGGATCAGTGGAAGAAAGGTGTTTATGACTGGAGAGACAGTGGAAAATGCAGAGCATTCCGGAAGACACATTCTGTGTGGACTTTGAGAGACTAAATTTTTTGATTTTCTTTTTCCTTACTACTTGGGTTACATAAGTAGGACTTGTGTTTCTTGGAATAACATGCCAGTGGAATTTTTGTTCAGTTAGGACATAGTTTGGAGTTGGGGGATGTGATGGTTTGGTTTGTTAGTAGTTCTGTTAATTTGTTAACTGTTAGGGTTAAATAAATAAATTGTTACTTGGTACTTATAAAGTGAATAAAAGGATTTTCTTTCATTTAACCTCCCCTTCTCTGTAACAGTTTAACAGATTAGGCGAGGTGAGGTGAGCTTCTCTGGGTGTTTTGGGTTTAATTATTAGAAGGGGACCTCTACTCCCTCTGTAACAGATTGGGGGCTTGTGTTTCGATTTTAATTATCAGAGGGTTTCGACCTCCCCTTCCTAACATTCAAAAAGATAGCTAGAAATCCGGAAGCAGCAGGTAATTGTATTTAAGTAGCACGGGACATATTAACACCATTTGTGACACCATACAAGTGTAAAAACTTAGCTTGCACAAATTTTTGAAGATCTGAAATTGTTAATTCATCTTCTTGTCCAAGAGTGATGACCAGATTCTGTTTCTTAACCTATTCCTAACTGGGTAAATACTGATTTTTGACTCGTGCTGAGTTCTTCAGAAATTTCACCAATTAATTGGGTGAAATCTGTTGAGAACAAAACCAGTATAATTCATGTCTAAAATAAAACTCTACAGATTTGGCTTTCTCATGCCATTTTCCACTTGTATCCTTGAGGGAAGATTGTTTCTGTATCCTGTATTGCTAAAGGTAACCAGTTCTGTCTGGGATTTAATACTTGCTGTTTTTTCAGTGCTTTCACTGCAGTTCAAATGGTTTTCAGAAAGTATGTGACCTCATTGAGTGTGAAGGAAGTGGTCAGCCACACCTAACCTTCCAAATGCACACCCCAGTATTCAGTGGAGTGAGTCGAAGGCTCACCTGCACCTTCCCTAGACCAGAATTTTGAGTGTAATTTAAACCAAATGGATAGCCGGCATTTTGGGATCTGCCAGTCTACTGAAATCTCAGTGCCAGGGTGTAAGTGTACTGTTCCAGAATAGCCTTGAGTTGAGATGCTCGCACAACCAAACCTGATTGCATCTTCATCGAAGATCTAGACCCACATATGCACACATTCAGTCAGAGCTATCAAATGATTCCTGAAATGGGAACCTGATCACCTGTTTTTATCCAGTTGGTGGTACTGAGGCTAATTGTATTCCTACTACGGTGACATCTGAGATCTTCCTGGTCTGATTTGCCCAGATATTGCCTGAATAAACTTGTTGATCCACTATTTACCTCTCATTTACCTCCTTTAACCTTTAAGATATTGTTCAAAAATGAAGAAAAACCAAGTGGTTTTACCGGGAGGTTCAAAGGTAAAATCCTGTGTCAGGCTTGGTTGCAATTTTATAAGGTCAGTAAGTGGAATTCTACTTCATAGAGGCTAATTCTTAGTACTGAACTGTAAGTATTGGCAGTTGCTTTGTTCACCAAGTTAATACAAATTGTCAACTATATAATGTATACACAGAAAATGAAGCTGAAGCAATCTATAATGAAGTCTGTCACTAAGCTGATAAAGATAATAGGTTATTCATAAATGACAATGCATGGCTGCCACAACCTATTCTTTTTTAAATTGTTCAGTTGTCACACTCATTGATGCAGGAAATTAATATATATTGATCAGTAAATGTTGCGACCCTAATTTTCATGTCACAAATTGTGTTTGAAATAGGGCCTAAATACCTTCTCTCTTACTGTAAGTATTGTTTGTATGTTTTCTTCCATTAAATTCTGAATATTCAAAATTTTACTTTGTGCTTTGCAGTAACGTGTATGAATTACAATTGCACCTGAGATTTTTGAGAATTTCCTTTGGAAGAATTGAGTCCAAAAGAAACTTATTTGTTTTGAAAGTGTTTTTAATTTCTTATCAATCTCTGTCACATTGTACTCTCAATATAATAATGACTATTTTTGAAATTATAGTCGTTTTGGAGGCATTTTCTGATTTTTCTTGCTGCTTTAGTTGCTTCTAATAGTTTCTGAGAGCATGTGAATGTAGACAATAAAACAAAACCAGTACGTTAGAAATAAGGCTCAAAGAGACTATTTGAGCCATGTCTGCACGAACTGTTTGCTAGAGCAATCTAAAACTAATCCTAAAACTAACAAACTGTTCTGTTGAAGCATCACTGGATTTGAAATGTTAATTCTACTTTCTTCCCACAGTGCTGACAGACCTGCAGAGTTTCACCAGTAATTTCACCAGTAGTTTCAGATCTCCAGCATCTGCAGTTCTTTGTTTTATATTACCAAAACTAATCCCACTATGCCTGACACTTCTGAAGCTTTGTAACCATCTCAACCTCAAAATTTTATTTACTTTAAATGTGAGATGTCTCCAGTATTTCCTGTGGCAAAAATCTTAACATGCCTTATCTCCATGTTATATAATTTTGTGTAATGCCATTTCCATCACTCTAGTCCCTTTTATTTTTAAAATGTCCTAATAATTTTCCAAACAGATGAAATTGCCATTAGCTATCCTCTTTGTCTTAATTTAAAATTATTTTAGTTGATCATTTTTATGTTCCAACTGGTATACTAATGCTGCTATCACCAGTCGCTTTAAAGAATCAAGTTTTCGATCCCTGGCACTATCAATTTATGCCTGATGCCATGCTGATTCTAAATTTTTTGTTTAACAGCTACTCCAGGCAGATTTTCAGAAATATAAATAGGATCTTTAGCGTTCTAATATTTCATCCATATAGGTTTGTGATCTGTCATTTCATATATGTTACTAACTTGATCATTTATCAAGGGGTAGGCAGAATGTAAGTTTACTGTAGAGATTTATGAGTAAGAGTTGATGGCAGGTCATGTGAAAGCTATGGTATCGTACTAAATTTCTTTATTGTGCTCCAGTCAAATTTGTGATAGATTGAGCCTTGATAAACCACAGTTGATACATTCAAACACTGTGATTTAACAATATATACAACAATGTCATTAAATCCATTATGTCAACATTTAGAATTAAAAGTCAATTACTTTACTTCAGTAACAAGTACTGTCAGAAAACATTGGAAACTCTTAAAGGTTTATTGACAGGGTTTAACTTTGCTGTGTTGAAGGTTTTTCTCTCAACAAATGATTTATTTAGGCTATAGCTATACTGTAGTGACCAACCTGACATTGGTATCTGTCTCCTTTGACCTGTGTTGCAGCATGCAATGACCTAAGGCTGATCACTGCTATCTTTTTACAATATTGTCCAGATCATGTTTGGCTCTAACGTTAAAGAATTTTATTTTGAGCATCAGAACTACATCGGGGCATTTTTGAAATTCGAGTTATAATACTGTTGGAGCAAATTGTACACTGTGTGAAATCCTTTGTGATTTGGTTTCACTGCAGTATTCCCTTTGTAATATTGTTAGCCTCCTTCAAAAGTGCCTGATTGCTTATTAAGAGCATTTGCATGTCTTGCAATAATGAATAGTGCGTGGTAAATGCAAGTGTTTATTTTTCTACCCTGGTTTTATTCAACTACTGATGAAATTCTCATCCAAATCTCTGTTATCTCCTGATTCATCTGTTCCATTGCATTCCTTGCCAGAATTTAATCTTAAATCCTCAGCTTATTCAAAGCTCTGTTGCCCAGATTCCAACTAACACCAAGTCCCATTCACAATCACCTCTGTCCACTGGCTTGCATTTATACCTAACCCAGGAACACATTGATTTTAAAATTCACATCTTTGTGTTAAAATCCCACAAAAAGCAATTTCTTTCCTATCTCTGTAATCTTTTGCATGCTTAAAATTCTCCACATACACTCTGTTCTTTTCCTGGTTTCTTGTATGCCCTTCATTCCACCTTGACTAGCTGTGCTTTCTGTTGTCTTGGTGCTTTATACATTCCCTCCCTCAACTTACCCACCTTTAAATGGCCTCCTCTTTCATCAAGCTTTAGTTATCCACTATATAGCTTCCTTTGATTTGGCATGAAGTGTTATCTATTACCTGCCTTCATAGTCTGTTAGGATATTTTGCTATGTTAACGGTGCTTCATAAATGCATTTTTTCCCAACATGAGTTACCACAGTTTGGTACTCTGCTACGAAATCAAAGTGCGACCTGATAGAATATGTTTTGTATTTAAAGTACTTGAAAATTATTCATTCTCAATCTGTTATTTTCTCTTATCTTCCTAAACAGACAAATGGGCCTGGATCTGGTTCCAAGGAAAGAATTCAGTATGGTGGATCCTGATGAAATCAGTGTCACAGAACTGTACAAATTGGTGAGCATCTCATAATGTTTTTATGTCATTACATTGCTGTTTAAGATTATTCAGTGTTTTAATTTTAGTTTATAAGCATATTTAAGTTAGCAAAACATTTTTGCATGATTTTAAAATTTCACAGTTGTAGACAGAGGCTGAGGAATCAATGGTGTCTCCCTTGAACCTTTTACTGTTCTTGTGCTTTACGGAATAGCTGAGGGAGAAACAGAAGGCAGAGTGTAGGGAAGTTAAACAAGCATCTGAGATTATCTTAACCTGTTCTCGTTGATCACCACATCTTTTCTGCAGATGCAAGGGGCTAGTTTATCTAGTCCTACGATAACTGTTCAGAAAGCCATCTTTCCTTTACAAAATAGTAGCCAAATGCTGCCAGACAGCTGCAGACATAGCTTATAAGGCAAACCTTCAGTGGATTAAAATCTGATTACATGACTTCACTAGATGAGTCCTACTATAATGCTAAAATCTGCTTATCATTGGTTGGTGTTAGTGCTGCAGCTATCAAGGCTGCCAGCTGGAAATTCATCTTCACACAGATATTGCCCCCTTTCTTCCTCCAAATCTCTCTCTATCTATATCTTAAGAAAAAAGAAGATAAACAGTTTTCCTCCTGTTTGCTCATGCATTATCCTCAATTTGCTTCAACTCTTGTGTGGCTGTTTGATCTTAGCTTCCAACTTAAACAGTTAGCAGGCCATACTACAGCAGTTGCTTGAGGGAATTCCAACAAGTCAACAGGAAATTGAGGTGGTATTTCCTGAGAATAGAAAAGAAAATGTGTCTGTGGGTATGCACATTGTGTGCATCTCCCTTCCATCCCTGGGCTATGTGAAAGTGGCTCTCATCCAATGAATTACAAGTGAATTTGTCAGATTCAGAGTCTCAAGGATGTTTACAGTACAGAAGGAGGCCATTCATCCCATCATGTCCACATTGGTCAATTAAGTCCTGACTCTACTAATATTTTTTCCAGTTTTTGGTTCATAACCCTAGAGGCTATGGCATTGCACGTGAATGTCTAAATACTGCCTGAATGTTTTAAGAGTTTCTGACTTGACTACTCTTTTAGGTAGTGAATTCCAGACTCCCACTAGTCTCTATGTGAAGAAATTTCTCCTCAATCCTTCTGTTAGCCTTCTACCCCTGAAATTAAATCTTTGCCCCTTGATCATTGACTCATCTACTGATGGAGAAAGGGCCTTTGTATCCATGCCCTTTGATCTTGTACATCTCTGTCAAGTCCTCTCCCACTCTTTGCTCCAAGGAAAACAGCCCAAGCTAATCCAATCTTTCCTCATAGCCCAGGACCTCCAGCTCTGGCAGCCTCTTGATAAATCTCCTCTGCGCCCTCTCTGGTGCAATCATGTTTTTCCTATAATGCAATCCACTAGTGGTATAACCAGTATTTTCTGTTGTTCTTGCACGTCCTCCCTGCTCTTCATTCTATGCTAAGGCATAAAGCAAACATCCCATATACTGCCTTAACCATCTTATCAACCTGCCTCACTACATTGAGGGATCTGTGGATATGCAGGCCAAAGTTCCTCTGATTTTCAGTACTTTCCATGGTTCTACCATCATTGTGTAATCCCTTGCCTTGTTAACCCTTATTAATTACCTCTTATTTTTCCAGGCTGAATTCCATTTGTCACTGTTTTGCCCACCTGTCTAGTCTGTTAATATCCTACTGTGCTTTACGACTATCGTCCTCACTGTTGGCATCAGACCAAATTTCATTTCATTTATGAATTCTTGGTCATACCCTCTACATTGAAGTACAAAATCTGAACGTATGCTACTACGACATGGAGACAGATAGCCGAACCAAATCAGCCTTTCTACATCTGTATTCACAGTGCAGTAAAAGTAAACCATCAAAAACCCCCTGTAACAACTTCAGTTGTTCCCAGACTCCATGAATAATTAATTCTAGACACCAAGTTTGCATCTCATAGAAAAGACTGAACTATTTATTCAATACACAGTAACTTTAGCAGAGGAAAAATTAACCAACGACATAAGCTGATTAATATCTACACTTTAAAGTTTGTGTCACATATATACAGGATGGTTAAAAAGTTGGTTGGCACACTTGCCTTCATTGCTGAGTCCCTTTGAGTATAGGAGTTGGGGCGTTATTGTTGACGTTGTACAGGACATTGGTGAAGCCTCTTCTGGAATACTGTGTCCAGTTCTGGTTGCCCAGTTACAGGAAGGATATTATCAAGCTGGAGAGGGTTCAGAAGAGATTTGCCAGGATGTTGCCAGGTATGGAAGGTTTGAGTTAAAGGAAAGGCTGGATAGTCTGGGACTTTTTTCACTGGAGTGTAGGAGGTTGAGAGGTAACCTGATAGAAGTGTAAAATAATAACATGTATAGATAGGGTTGATGGTGGTTATCTTTTCCCTAAGATGGGGAATTTCAAGACTGGCAGAGGGGGGGCATTTTTAAAATGAGAGGAGATACATTTAAAAAAAGACACGAGACAATTTTTTTTATACAGAGGGTGGTTTGCATGTAGAATGAATTTGACAGTCACCCATCTATCTGACTGATCCTGCTGTGTAGTAACTTCTCTCACTCTGTACCTTATATATGGCCATCATATCATTAAGCCAAAAAAAACTTTCAATAACACGTTATATATAAGATAAACGACCTTTCATTGCGTACTGAAAATAATGCTAAAATGGAAAAAAATTAAATATATGTTATTTATATATATAAAATCAACCACTTAACCGATTAACTGAGTAAACATGGGCTATATGTTCTGGCTGTTGACCCTCCCCTTCAGAATGCTCTGCAGCCATTCCATGACATATTTGATCATGGCAACCAGGAGGCAACCTACCATTTTGGAGTTGTATCTACAGCTCCAGCAGCAACCTGTCTGCTCCTCTCATTAATAAATCCCCAACTATTATTGTCCTTCCACCCTTCCACATTAGTTCTTTCCCACCCTCTCCCAAACCCTGGAACAGCTGACCACCCATGTTATCATTTTCTTGGCTCAAATCTACCTCCAGAGAGAAACTGTTGCTCTCGCCATTTTCCAATGCCGGATATGGTTTGAGAGTGAGGTGCACTCAGATTCTCTAGCTACCTGCCTGGTTCCCGTCAGTCTTGAGGTCACTCATTCGCTCCCAGCCTTCACAGACTTAAGCTGTTGGTTGACAACTTCCTGAAATGTGCTATCCACAAATCCCTCAGCCCCTCAGCTTGAGTTGCTCCAACTAGAGGCACCTCCTGTACATGTAGTCATCCAAACTGCCGAGGTAGTCTAAAATTTTGTACATAGTGCTGGATGTGTAATCACAGGCCTGAGCTCCCCAAACAAATCTTAACTTTATAGAATCCTTGCTTTTATTTTGCTATTGCTCCTACTTAACTATAGACTAGAAAAATCTTACTTTTGTTTATATCACATGAACATCCAGAATCCCTTAACTTTATCAAGAAGTTTAAAAAATTAGTTTTGAACATCTGAAATACTAACTAATAATATGAAGTTTGAAGTTGTAATTGCAGTCTTAATTTAAATTAATCCCCAAACACTCGAGAAATACCCTGCAGTCACCTACCTGTTCTCCTGTGACATCCCATTACAATTTAGTTGAAGCATTTCTGCAGCTAGAATGCCTGCTTCTGGACCTCTTCATGCTTGATGACCCCGAATCCCACAAATGTCTGTCAGACTGCCTGCTTCTGTCTCATGTTCCCCTCAATGTTGTTCACTGCTTGTTTTGGGGTCCCTGCCTCTCCTGCTCCCCTCTGTTGCTGTTGTTCTGTTGAAGAACACAGCGGCCCATTTACAGAATGGTTTTATCAAGTCAAATTCCCATTGTTACAGTGCAACACAGCTGCATCATTTTGCTGCAGGAGACAAGTAGGAGACATAATCATTGAAGAATTTCCAGGGAACTATCCCTACCTATTGAAATGTTGTTAGTGCATTCTTTATTTCATTCAGTCATGGGATGTTGGCATTCCTGGCTGGGCCAGCATTTTTTACCTATCCATAAATTCCCAGAGGGTATATTACTGTGGAAGTGGAGTCACATCCCTATCTCTAGGTAAGGATGCTAAATTTGCTTCTCCAAATGACATTAATGAACAAGATGGATTTTTAAGGCAATCAACATGGCTTGCTTTTTAGCTCCAGATTTCTATTGAATTCAGATTTCATCACCTAATACCTGGGTGGTATTAGAACCCATGTCCTCAGAACACTTAATCTAAGGTTTTGGATTACAAATCCAGTGACATGCCCACAACACCACTCCAATGGCTTGGCTTCCCTTCCCTCCAAATTTGTTATATTGGAATTATTCCACGTGGGTCCAAACCTAGTCTTCACCCAAACGTTTGTAAAATACGCAAAAATGTCAAATAGAAAACACCAATTATTCTATTGAGACTGGTGCACGGCCATGAGGCATTGTTATGTCATTTCTGACTGCAGCTTTGAAGCATACGTCTCCTGTTTTAAAATCTGTGTCTTAACATTTCAAAAAATTGTGATCGTCTGTCATGTTGCCACTGCTTAATCAACCATACGGCAAAGTCATGTAATTAAATAACCTCCATCATGAAAAATGGAGAAAAACAGACCAAACCCTCAACAAATTTATATTGATAATTCTGACCCGTTTAAACTAATTATTTAAAAACTCTGTTTTTGCATGTTGAATAAGTTGACATTTTTATTGGAATGATTATTTAAATAAATTGTTGAGTCTTCAATGCACCTTAACAAAATAAACTGGCAAGAATGTTACTTTGTAAATTATGGTACTATTCATAATTCAGGTAAGTAATGCTGTCTTCTCATCACCAACACTCCTCAAAGATTATTTCAGCGAGGATTCACCATGTTTTAAATGAGCAAAATTGGCCACATTTTCTCAAACTAGAATTCTTTTCTTCTGCAGTCAGTGTTCTGTAAATCCAAATTCATGCCACCACAGGAGTTTGTCTGGTACAATTGTGTGAAT